GGGGGGGGGGCCGGAGATTTCCTTGAAAACTCTTAGACTGCTAGTATTGAACCACATCATTTTACTATGGCCCATCATGTAGCACTTGCAAGTTGTAGGATTAACTTGGAAGTTTTATTTCACCTTTAAGGCTCCTAGAATATTATTTCAGAAGTTACCCATTCATGGTGCTAATTTAGGGTCTGAATGAGTCCTCTATCCTGAGCATGCTAGGCTAGGTGTCAGCCATGCTTGTCACAGCCGTCCATCTTCCTGCTTAGGAAGCACCAGTGGAAGGTGCTGCATCTGCACAAACTCCTCATGAGCGATGGGAACTCCAGGTCCTGTTGTTACTGGGCTTCTGGCATCTTTATGCGCCTTCACCAGAGCTCGGTAATCTAGACAGCGGTTCACACTGAAAAGTCTGGGAGGAGCCTGTGTAAAGGGAAAATGTGACACGTTAATTGAAAAATACCTTCGATGCTAGGCGCAGGTTTCTGTCCACAGGAATTCTGGATTTCACAAAAGAGCTGTGGTATTTCCAGGTAAACCATGATTCATGTGTGTAGCACAACTGGTTTTCCATCTTATTCATCTCAGTTATGAATATACAGTTGATGTGGTTTGGGGAAGCAAACCACAGATGTTTCTTTCATGTTAGTCTCCCAGGCCCTGTATTTTTTTTTTTTTCTTTTTTTAATCCTTGAGAGACAGAGTGTGAGTGGAGGTGAGGCAGAGAGAGAGGGAGACACAGAATCTGAAGCAGGTTTTAGGCTTCAAGCTGTCAGCACAGAGCCTGACACGGGGCTTGAACTCACAAACCGTGAGATCATGACCTGAGCTGAAGTCAGATGCTTAACCAACTGAGCCACCCAGGTGCCCCTCCCAGGCCCTATATTTTTATAAAACATTTTAAGATTTTATTTATTTATTTTGAGAGAGAGAAAGAGTGAGCAGGGTAGGGGCAGAGAGAGAGAATCCCAAGCAGGCTCCACACTGTCAGCACAGAGCCTGATGCAGGGCTCGAATTCATGAACCATGAGATCATGACCTGTGCCAAAGTTGGATGCTTAACTGATTGAGCCACGCAGGAGCCTTTCCCAGGCCCTAGATTTGATTGTAATGTCAGCTTAGGTGCCCAGCCCTAGCCTCAGCCTGGAGAGGGCAGGAAGGGGCTGAGGATTTCTGCCAACCAGCAAGAGCCTGGAGCCGGGCTGACAAGGAAAAGAGCATCAGATTTGAGAGAAAGGATGAAGCCCTACATAGGGAAAGTGGCAACGAGATTTGGGTAACTTTTCATCAAGGAACCAACGTGGGTGTCCAAGGGAGTCATCCCCTCACATTCTTGAAATTTTGAGACCACCTGTTTCTCCTCACATCTTCTCACTGCCTTCTATGCCACATGGTAATACTTTCTCTTTTTTCCATGTCCTTTGGCTTACGCTTCCTATGGCAAAGGGCAATGGATGTGAACAAATGGTTTCTGAAAGCAAGTGGAATGAGTTCTTCCTTTTTTCTAATTTTACGCATTTTTCTTCTCCATTAATACTGTGTTTTAAATGAATTTGTGGGGGAAAAAAACTCCAAGTACTATTAAGATTCTTTTCTTTTTTAGCTCATAGCTGTCTTATTAATTAATTAAATCCCTACTGTCTTAGAAGCATCCACAATGAGCTTCATCTTTTCTGTGTCACTGAGGTTTATTTTTATCTTTCACATCTTGGGAGTGAACCTCATTCACACCTTCTGAATTCTGATGTGACATTAAAAGCTAGAAATGGTGATGTGACCCCCGGTTATCTTGGAGTTGGAATGTGCAAGGCTTATAATTTGGGAAACTTCAAGTTAGATTTTGTATGCTGTTTGCAACTTCACATTTGCAACCATGATGATCATCAACTGGCTTGCTGTCCAGTTATGTGTATTCTCTGACTCTAGAACATGGGCAGAGGAGGTAAACATTTGTGTGGACATGGCAGTTAGAGCCACAGATAGACCAACTTACCTTGGAGGGACTGTGTTGTTCTTACTCTGGGGACTATTGGGAAACACAGACTGTGACCCAGGCAAGTTATCTGAAAACGGGGAGGGGATAATTTGAGGGTAGTCACGGTTACTGCTTGCAGTGAAAGAGCTGTAGAACCTACTCTTCTGTCAGTACTTGCTCCCATCGTGCCTGTTTTCTTCCCCCAACCTTTCTCCCAGGTAACCCACTCACCTTGTCTTTGTGCTTTCCAGACAGTCGAGGAGATTGAGGGGGTACTTGGCCGGGACCTGTATCCCAACCTGGCTGAAGAGCGGTCTCGTTGGGAGAAGGAGTTGGCTGGGCTGAGGGAAGAGAATGAAAGCCTGACCGCCATGCTGTGCAGCAAAGAGGAGGAGCTGAACAGGACCAAGGCCACCATGAACGCTATCCGGGAGGAGCGGGACCGGCTCCGGAGGCGGGTGAGTGCACCAAATCCAACATGGCCAGGCCTTTCCCCTAGGCTGTGGGGCTGAAAGACAAATGAGCGTGTACCGCCAGGGGCAGCCCCAAGAATGTTGTGGGATTTGCAGTTTTGGGAATCTCCATCCCTTTCTGATCATGAAGTCATTCTGCAAAGGGGAGTATTTTGAAAGTGCTGAGGTGTGCAGGTAAGATTTTAAAAAACACCACTCTCTAGAATCACACATCTAAGTAGATGGTAAAATTATATCAGCTCAGTGATTCTCAAACCATTCTCCAGTGTATGCACATCTTCCCCAAGCTCAATTAAATTATCTTCTTTTAAGGTAGACTAAAAATATTTTATAATTGGCTAAAATTTATAGAATTTCCCCCTTTGCAATTTCTTCTATAAAACTTCCTTTCAGTTTATAGTACTTGCTCTCACTTATCTACACTGAGTCTAATGTGAAATGTCATTTCCTCTAGTGCACGTATTAATGTTACAATAATCATGTGTATATGTGTGTGCATACACGTTCTGTGTGTTAAGTGTGTGTATGTGTGTGTGTAATTCTTGGCATTCACCCCAGTGTACCCCAACATACCAAATGGCTCTATGGCCTGAACCAGTTTTAAGAGCAACTTGCTTAGGAAATACATCCATTACTAAAGGAGCTGATGTTTCAGGAGAGAAATGTTTGGCAGAATTGTTAAAGCACTTGGTTTTTCAAAGATGGAGTTTTTTTTCTCAGGAACCTACAAGTATTTCTTTGGCTGTGATTTTGATCTGTGATTGGTCTGGGGTAAAACAATGAATTCTTCAATCAGAAACACATTCCCTCTGAACTTCACTTTCAATTACTAGACGTACTTTACTCTCTTTTTCAATCTTGGCAATATTAGAAGCTTGCTTTCTAGTTGTGCTCTGACTGGCAATTGTGCACAAAGATAAAGTTGACTTAGGTAAAATACATTTAGTAGATCCCCTCATCCTTCACCATTGCTTTTCCTCCTTTTATTTTTTTTAAGTTTATTTATTTATTTTGAGAGAGAGAGAGAGGGAGAGAGAGAACCAGCAGGGGAGGGGCAGAGAGAGGGACAGAGGATCAGAAGCAGGCTCTGTACTGACGGCAGAGAGACTGATGAGGGGCTCAAACTCACAAACTGCGAGATCATAACCTGAGCCAAAGTCAGATGCTTAACCAACTGAGTCACCTAGATGCCCCTCTCTTTTACTTTTATTTATTTACTTTATTATTTTAATGTTTAGTTACTTATGAGGGAGAGAGAGAGAGAGTGTGCGTGCGTGCATGTGAGTGGGGGATGGGCAGAGAGAGAGGGAGACAGAATCTGAGGCTGACTCCAGGCTCTGAGCTGTCAGCACAGAGCCTGACACAGAACTTGAACTCACTGCAAGATCATGATCTGAGCTGAAGTCAGACACTTAACCAACTGAGCCACCCAGGCGCCCCTCCTCTCCTTTTTTTTAAATGCTTATTTATTTTGTGAGAGAGACAGAGTGTAAGCAGGGGAGGGGTAGAGAGAGAGGGACATGCAGAATCTGAAGCAGGCTCCAGGCTCCGAGCTGTCAGCACAGAGCCTGACGCGGGGCTCGAACTCCCGGACTACAAGATCATGACCTGAGCCGAAGTCTGAGACTTAAATGACTGAGCCATCCAGGCGCCCCTCCTCTCCTTTACATTTAACTTGTCTTCACTAAGGTCAGCATGTGTACATCATTCTGATTTTTTGTTTGTTTTTAATTTTTTTTAATGTTTATTTTTTGAGAGAAGGACAGAGTGTGAGTGGGGGTGGGGCAGAGAGAGAGAGAGGGAGACACAGAATCTGAAACAGGCTCCAGGCTCTTAGCTGTCAGCACAGAGCCTGATCTGGGGCTCGAACCCACAAGCTGCGAGATCATGACCTGAGCCGAAGTCAGATGCTTAACTGATTGAGCCACCCAGGCGGCCCCCATCATTCTGTTTTTAATCCACAGACAAGTTTTCTTGGTTGCCGTTACATATGAATATGGAAGAAATTACTATTTTTAACCATGATCAGCTCTTGTCCTCATTTCTGGCTCATGTCATAATTAAAAGGCCCGCATTCCTATCTCCCGTATCTGAACGTGTTTGTCTGAACTCACGTGCCTAAGCTTATTTTCAGTCCCCAGCTGTATGGGATGCCATTCTCTGCACTTGCATCAGCAGGTGTAAATCATCCCAGTCAGCAAAGACTTTATCTGGGCAAGCTGGTGAAATTTACTTAGTGCTGAGGCCCACACCACCTGGAGCTTCCTGGGTTACACTCCCTGATCATTATGACTAATGCCCTAATTAGGCATGCTTGCTCTTAGTGTGCACGTTCGGATGGTGCATGTTTTGTGAAGGAAATGTTGGTCTTAGATGTAATTACATATTGTGTATTAGAATAAATTTTCTCCTCTAAACTTGAGTTACTAAAGTACAAAACATCCCTGGATTGTGACAAGCAAAGGATGAAAAGCCAGTCCCCCTTCTTCAAGTATCTTCTCCAACTCTGGAGGTTAGTGTTAAGAACAGCATACTGTGGTGGTACTATGTAGTACTATGTACCTGGGGTCACAGCCTGACCTGCCAAGTCACCATGAACCTTTAGCAAGTTACCTAACCTCTCTGAGCCTCAGTTTACTCTGCCATGAAGTGGGAATAAGAATAGTATCCAATGTAGTATCCAAAATTAGTTAATACTCATAAAGCACTTAGACAATCTTAATTCTTTTTTCTTAATTTTTTAAAATATTTTTTACTTATTTTTGAGACAGAGAAACAGCATACAAGTGGGAGAGAGGCCGAGAGAGAGGGAGATACAGAATCCCAAGCAGGCTCCTGGCTCTGAGCTGTCAGCACAGAGCCCGACACAGGGGCCCGAACCCACAAACTGTGAGATCGTGACCTGAGCCAAAGTCAGACGTTTAACCGACTGAGCCACCCAGGTGCCCCAGATAACCTTAATTCTGATCACACTTAATATCTTTGAAGGTTTGCAGTTAATATGATTTTATATAATTTATATTTCCGTTACATCCCAATCATAAAATGTTGAGTAGCCTTGTGTCTCTTCGTCAACGGGAAATGTCCTCAGAAATTTGTATACCTACCCACAATTAATTTCTCTATTTCAAAATAATTGTGGGTCTCATAGAATTTGCCAGCTGTGTTAGAATGCCAGTTTGCTAGACTTTAAATGCTGGATGACTTCCACCCACCGCCACCCAATATATTTCATTTCCCTGAGGAGGAATCTGTCTTTTGTGGTTTGTTTTCTTCTGTTCCTGCCTGATGTGTCGCTCTTTGGAAAGATTAAGGTACAGTTTTGTTTCCATCTCTGTGATGCCACATCGCACATGGCTTGTTTGCCTTGGCTGTCTTTAGAGCAGGTCTGAATCCACAGTTCATCAAAGTTGCCTGAAAAAGCAAGTGGGGCCACATTTCTTTTCACTGCTCACATTCATCGAGTAGAATTTGAACTGACCAGATCGATAGGACTGGTGCTTGCCCCCTGCCTGTAATTAAACAAAGTGCTCTCGGTAGGTTTTCTAGGCCTGATTCAAGATTTAATTAAATTAGAGCTTTAATGTCAGTTAACAGATTGGGCTACTTGGCAGAGCAGTAACTAAGGAACAACAGACAGACAATTTTTATTATTGGGCCCAGCTCATTATTAAATGAGATAATCATTTATGTCTGCATGCTCAATAATATAACCACTCATTTCCTCACACTTTAAGAAGTGGGCTTAATTTAGGCAAGGTAGAATTAATTTCTCTAGAAAGGAAGCTCTTTGCTCTTCATTCATTTATTCATTTCATAAACATGATAGGCCATCTTGTCTGTGCTGGGCAGAGAGGTTATAGTGACAAATAGGACAGAGTCCTTGGCTTGAAGGGTCTTGGAGAGACAGGCAAGCCAACAGGTTGTCACAATGGTGTATGTCATGTTGTAGGGAGGGATGAACACAGAGGGCACCCTGGCAGTCCAAAGGAGCGTCATTGGACAGTAGGTCCAGCCTCACCACACTATTTGCATCTTTTACCTAATTGTTTAGGTCAACTGCCATGTAGCAAAAATCATTAGTGCTTTCCTCAGATAGTTGGGTAAAGCAAATTGGATATGACCACGGGCTCATGAATCTGTATCCCGTTGAGTCATAGACTTAAATCAAAATCAGGCCATACAGTTCCTTCTGAGATTTGGTACAAATTCTTTGGAAAGTTCTACAAATTCATGGCATAAAGTGGTGGTAGGAGGGTTTCTTCTGTGTACCCCATGCCCCACCTGGGTATTTCCAGCATGTCTGGAAGTGAATTTCATCAACGTCTCCTGAGCTTCCTTCATCCTTGGGGTTTGACTTCAAGTTTGAGTCTCTGGTTATCACCACAGTAAATTCAAGAGACTAGAAGACACACTGTTTTGAACTAAATAAAAGTGACATTAATCTCAGGTTTCTCCCCCTCTACTTTCCCTCAAAATGTCTTAAAAACCCTTAGTGTTAGTTAATTGACTTGGCTGGGCAGGGGAAGGGCAGTATTTCCACTAGTGCTAAGAAGATACAAGTGTGTGTCTTTTCCAAACCAATTACTCTTGATTCCTAAATGTAGTGTTGCATTTGTGAAGGGATTTCATTGTCTTGTGTTCATAGGGCCCATGTAATACAAATGGAATCAGTTCAGCTAAAGTCTTTTAAAATATAAATGGGGTCTCAGCTTCAGATTTTTTAATGGCTGCCACTTGGCTCCTTGGCCAGGAAAAAAGATGAGTAAATTTCTAGAATGCTGCAATGCCCCTATCCTTCCCCCTTACCTCATCCCTCCTAAAGAAAGTAGCCTCAAGTTCCTAGTCATATATATAGCCTTTGGGGAGGAGGGGAGGGGACAGCTGGGAAAGGAGGACCACAGGTAAAAAGAAATTTCCTTCACACATTGTACTCTCTGTGGACCATTAATTCTAAAGCTTTTCAAAGTAATAATCCTGTCATA